GGGTCAATTAATTTACCTGATTGAGTAATAGAAAAATTAGATATAAACACAAATATGATAACAGTTATTTTTCAGATGTAGAAAAAATACAAGTGTCCACATATCAACTGTAATGCAACCATACGGGCAAAACCAAACATTTAGAACATGTCCAAAAACATAATGAATCATCCCGTCGTCATTGCAAGCAGCCCGGTAGTGGCGAAGAATTCCGTAATCATTCATCAGAATTTTCTTCCCACAAAGAAGTGCATCAACCTAAATTTAAATGCGAAAGGTGTGATTTTTCCTCCAACTACAGGAATTCACTGGCTAGACACAAGGAACGTTACTGCAAAGCTTCTCGTGAGTTTCGCAAATTCAACAAAATTTTTGTCATTTCTATGAAACTGATATAATACACATGGAAATATGTTACGAAATATCTCTGATCACATCCTTTGACTCAATGAAGTGATATCTAAGAAATATTTATTCTGTGCCCAACGGAAGATTCGTAAGGCATACCTCGGCAAAACATGAAACGATCACGATGTTCATCAAGTCATTAAGTCAATCAGGTCATTCGGGCAATTAGTGTTTTTCAGGAAACTTTAACATCCACGATAACTTGGATTTAACACTAATTGCCTCAGATGCAAGTATATATAACAGTTAATGGGGTTAAGTATATATAACAGTTAATAGCAGTTCAAGTATATATAACAGTTAACTAATGGATAATTACCGGGAACAAGTAGAAATGAATTATATAATGATATGCCGCTTTATTCCCTTCAGTTTTTGCTTTTACTCAATTGGATGAAGTTGAAGATATAAGCTACAAAGAATACCAAATCCGAATCTGATCTCGTTGCAGCGAAGAATTCAGAATTATCCCTCATCCTACATTGTTCCATTAGTGGCAACATGAGAATGAGCCTTTTGTTTTAAAAATAGAGATGGTAAAAAAGTGAACAACATCCGTAATTTAAGTTAGTCGAAATGTGATTTGATAGGTTTAATAAATAATGCTGATACAGTCATTTTTCAAATTAAATTCATTAATTAGCATATAAAATGATATTTGTAAACACAAGCGTTGCACCAGCTTTTCAGGTGGGCAGAAGTATGAATGTCGACTATGTAATGCGACTATGCTGACGAGAAACGAATATTCAAAACATCTTCAAGCACACGAGGAATATGTCATCATTTGTCCCAAATGTGGGAAGAAATTCTATTCCCAAGGGGGATTTCAACACCATAAAAATGTGCATCAGCCTAAATCTCAATGTGAAATTTGTAACAGTTCCTTTTCTTACAAGACTGGACTACGACAACACCAACAACAATTCCACAGAGGTAGCCGTTAGTTTCGCAAAGTTTATTTTTAGCAAAAGAAGTTTTCAACATGTTTGGTCACATAAAAGTGTGTTGCAAAACATTTAAGACAGTGAAATGGCAATTCAAAAATCAAAAGTGA